CCTGTATGTTCGTTATCGTCTTAAGTCCTTGTCACTTATTGGCACGACCTTCAGGCCCACATCTTTAATTTCATCTTAAGTGGCTGTAGGGCCTGGCTGATTCCTATTCTTTGCATGACACAAAATCCAGGGGATATAGTACACCGTTCTTAGAGCAAGCGTCCCAAACAACTGACTGGGCTTGATTTTCCCGACTGGACACTGTCCAAACGGGTTCTTTCTGGGAAAAGACCCACTTGGATATAAAGAGGATTCTGCCTACGGGCGTCATTTGTGTCACGGGCCGATCAACATTGGGCCCGTCATTTCAAATCTGCTTTTTTATTTATTACTAAAATTTACAGCGGCACGATGACCAGTAGGAAATGACTTCCCGCAAATCACAGGCCAGGAAGAGTGGATAACAGCCAACCAGGTCATATATACCTGATATTGCCGAAGTTCAAAGCTTGTGCAGTGGTTTCTAACAGTAAGCTTTACTATTGGTGTGCTTGCTGTGTTAGAATTTCAGGCAACATATAGGGACAAGCTTATGTATGGTGAAGTTCCAAGCTAGACCGTATTAGTGGTAATGAAGGTTTAGGACATGGTAGTAGAATGTCTTTTTATTACAATGCTTACGCATGCAACGCCCCAGGAGTTTGCTCTCGGTACGCACAATGCTAAATGGCGTGATGCAAAACATGAGCATTCGAGGAAACCCCACTGTCACGATCATGGAGATTCCGTTGTTAGGGTGGCGAAACTACATACAAGTACCAAAAACGTCTGATTGGCCGAAATGTACTCATGGCTTTCTAAAAGCCTCCAAAAATTGATTTCAAACATCACCAGTGACTGCATCCGCTTCCGATGCTTGGTGTTTTTCGGCGCTTCGTGAGAATCAGGGAAATTTTCCGAGTTTAGGAAGTGGAGGAACACATCGCCCGAATTACTCTTCTGAATCGTACAGCGGGCTAAAACACCTTGAAGGGTTTTAATTTGACAGGCTCGGGTATTAGCAGAAACTTGGTGTCGCATAATATATCCGGGCTTCCGATGGTCTGCGGCTGGCCAATGTCAGCGTCTGCTGTAAACTTCTGCACAACAGAGTTGCTGTCGTGTTCGCTCTGAGAGCACAAAAGTCAAAAATATGCGGTTCTGTAGAATCCGCGATTGATGCTACGTAATACTCGGCCGCCACGATTCTAGCAAGAAAACGGTGGGAAAGTACACCATTCATCTGCAGCCTTGTGATACGAATTTTTTCGGCGTCAACTTTGTGGCTTTCAGCCTTTTTCTTTAATCAACCCAAAATAGGGCAATGCTGAATCCCAGACAACATACTTCAAAAATGACTACCCAATACCCTTCATCAGTGTCGGTGCTTTCAAAATCCGCAACGGTCCCGTGGGATAGTTGTGCCCTCCTCATGGGCCATGCCGTCATGTAGTTCAGATATGTAAACCGATGGGGAATTTTCGTGCTTAGCCGTCCCATGGCCTTCAACAGAACACTGTTGGGTACTCCCGTTTATGGGTTGCGAGCAGGCGTCTATCTCCAACCGGGAGTATGATAACCGCTGACCCTTCTTTTCCCGGATGCCAGCAGAGTTTAAGTTGTCCAAATGGGAAGCGGCCTGCATCATCGCTTAGAGAACTGTCTAATGCTGGGCATCAATGAGGGAGTTTTCAGGTCCAGGCCTTGATGTGACATTGTGACACTAGGTGGACGACAATCTACAATGTTGAAGAATAAAATCATAAGTACTTGCAAACATTCTTCGTCGTCAATAGTGATGTGAGCCTAAGCGCAGTGGTACACGATTGATTTTTTATGGTTTTAGCTGCACAAATTTTCCCATAATTTTGCGACTTATTGGTCTTCGAACTGTTTCAGCAGGGCTGCACTACGCAGAACATGAGGAGCAACCTGCACTTCGGTGCCTGAACATTTGAGCACGTAGCTTTTCTTATTCGCTGTTTGTGCGGGAAACATTATAAGAATGCAAAAATTCGTTCTATCATCATGTTTGCCATGTGATAATGCACGCTTTTAAATGCCACTGTCGAAGATACATGGGGTGGATAAATAGAAATTTGGTACAATTTGTATCCACCGTAGCAAGCAGCTTTCCGACTGTTTACGGGAACAACGGATTCATGCAGAATTCTATCAGTCCACCCAAGGTTTTTCTGTATCTACTCTCAGCTTGCGAAAGTCATATGAATTTCAATTTCTTGGGCTACATGACAACTTGCTGTAAATATCATACAAACCTGCCGCCATCCATTTCTATCCGGGCCATTTTAAGCATTTTAGGCACTCAAGCCTTAATTTAATTCTTAACGATATCCCTCTAGCGCTGCCGTTTGCACGTGCACCAAACAAGATCTCTTCTAAGTGCTTCATCGTGAATGCTCCAACTAACGGTAAACTTGGGAAAGTAGCAGTTTTGACACCGTTCACCTAGCCTAATAACTCGGTTTTCCAGCTTGGAAGCAACATTTCTGTTGAAGCATGGTCGTGCCGTTACAACCTAGGCTCGTCGGGTAACAACACAATAGGGAAGCATCTATGCTTAAGAAGTTAATATCTTCACGCGACAAGCAATCAAACACCCCGTGTGGTCAGTGGTCACTCAGATCGGTCTGCTTTTTGAATCTGATTGGATATCCAATGGTAGTCTAAACGCTTTTGTTCTACCCCAACGAACCTCCACATCCAACTAAAATTGCCCACATGTTTGCACATCCCCAGTCCGATCATTTTAAAGATGACGTCTGTTACGGGGCTGTCCGGAAAGCAAGGTATGTCATTGCGATCATGACGCGGCACCGCAATACCAGGTTTGGTGTACGTCCGAGAGTATAAGCTTCGTGATCCTGATTGTGTCCTGCCGCTCACTCGTTTTGCCTGCAAGTACAACATTTGTTTGCCTGGCTCATCATGTTTCAGAATTTGTCGCACAGTCTATCTGATTTTTCTGCCATGAAACCGTCATAATTTTTACGTTCGCACCATCGAATAACTCTGGCTGCTCGATATTTTATCATTTCGTGGAAATTTAGCCCAGTACAGCAGTTCAGAGGGATGGGATATACAAGCAGAAAGCCGCCACTGATTAGGGGAAGTCGTGGAGTCCAACCGAACGGCAGTTACATATTTGGTCATAAAATTAAATTACAGGATTTAGGAGCATGTGCAGTACGACAGCGTCGTTGCGTACCGTCACGTGAGGCAGAGGTGCGCTACATTGCAGTGTGTGAATGAATGGGCTACGAAGCATGAATTCAGTTCACTGAATATTCAGCCCCACTGCCAGATGTACATGCGCTGGGTTCCTTCGGATTAAGCAGAATATTCCGAAGAGTGTGGAGCTAATCTTGGGTTTGTGTCACTGCGACTTAAGAAAGGCAGAATATCAGATATTGGATACGGTCGACAGAGTTACCCAGGAATGGGACACAGTTTGAGGGAAAGGGCCCAAGTCCTCTATGCACAGCAGCTTGAGACCGAAGGTGGAGAAATATGTCGGGGCCAGTGGAGATTGGCACGGCAAAATTTACGACGTCAGGCACTAGACGTTTTCCGCAAAAGATTCGCATTTCAGGGCGTGGATACATTTGCAGTCCCAGCGAGTGGAACTTCTGCATAAGACACAGGTATGATGGTAATTAATAGCAAAGTGCACTTGAGATGGAATCAAACTTATTTACGAATTTACCGCTATAGCCTTCGAACTGGTAAGTTTACATGCTAGGACCAATTATTGCGAAAGTGTGAGCGCTTGAGGCTTCTTTCAAAATTCGTGTATAGTGTAAGGCGTTGCGCCTGCTCCAGACTGTGCAACTGGGATTTCCAGGAAGGATTATCCCTTCGGGTGGCAAAAGTTACAAGTGAAACAGATTAATCCTGTAAGATTGTTGCTAGTTGATGAAGATGTTTCCAGTTCTATTGACCTGCTGTTATGAAGTTCTGGAGGTTTCGATCGACTTCCATTCAAGTTTCGCTCAAGACGATGGTTGTACCGAGGGTTAGCATTCAGTGGGCACACTGGGTAGAGCAACTATGTTTGGGTTTGTTATGTAAAAATTTCACGAAGACAGCCCCCTCCTCAAATAAACATATACCCGGCAACATTTCAATGGTTCGCTTCACGGTTTATTGTTCAAGTCTTTAACCCGTATCATTCTACAATCTTCATTTTAGGTTGTTCATTAGGCGCTTAAAAATGCCCGATGAGTCGGTTATCGCGTTCCCGCAGTGTCCAACTTGATGCGCCTTCCATACAACCTACAAACTCAGGCTATAGATGCGACGCGGCCGCATTTTTCACTTTCTATAAGAACAGCTAGACTCAAAACACTGATCCGAGTGTATGGGAAGCCTGGCGCAAGCGTCCTTCCTGGGAGTGTACCCGTTGGACCGTTGGGACCCGTTGGCCACACAATACTCCTAACTGCGATTAGAATAGACCTTTTGCCCCAAAAATGTCGAATTTTGTTGAGTATTTGCTCAACCTAAAATTATCCCAATCTACCTTCGTCTTTTTGCTGCTCACCAAATTTGGTTGTCCACCAGTGCAATAATACCCCTAGCAGAAATTCTGGTAGTATACTTTCCTAACATCGCCGACATTTCAGCACGTCTAAATGAGGTTCAAAAATGTGGAATCGTACTCTGAACGCAACTTGCTGTCTCCTTTAGTCCACTAGGGACATACCATAGCTTTCGAAAATTCAATTCCATTTTTTGAATACTATCAAATGCTTTTGAGAAGTCGAAACCTGTATGTACCGCCGTGTGTTTGAGCACTCGTGTGCTGACAATCCCGTCTGGAACACTCTTTACTCATGAAGACAACAAACACCCAATTTTTATCACAATGTCTGTCTGCAACAATACATGGAACTTTCAACATATTCTGGGCGCAAATGTAACTACTACCCGGTCTGCCTTACGGTTGGTTTAGTTTAAGCCAGTCAAAAGTGGCTTGCTACCTCGAGCGGCAACACAAAATGAACGAGTGCGCGGAATCTGATATCAACCGAGTTCGCCTCTGTCATTTGAGGACACTTCCGGAATTTTCAGGATATGGATTCAGCCTAAGAACGGATTCCAAGAATGACAAGCAGTTAATCGAAAACGTGGAATCTAACTCACCAGCTGAGCGCGGGAAATTAATCTCCGGAGACATTATATTAAAAATTAATGGAAAGCGAGTCGGTAAGTTAATAAGTTTTCGTTCCGTATCATATTCCAAGCCGGCCTTTCTCACCTTGAGGTCGTTCGCCTTATTCAGGAGAATGCAAAAGAAGTTAAATTATTGGTCTTGCAGCCTCCACTTTTATCGAAATTCAGCGAATACGAGGACCTCGTCGCGCAAGCAGAGAAGGAGACCATCATCTGTGAAGTGCAAGAAAATACGAGTAATAATTCGGTGAGTTTTTCTTCTTTACTCCGTCTAAAAGCTGTAACATGGGACATGGATTTTATTAATCTGCAGGTGTGCCTGTCATGTCGGACATACGGAATGTGTACATATATGCATAAATATAGTCACCAAAGCGGCTATATCCAATTGCCTTTGATATTCATTCGTGATGAATAAGTGTAGGGCATAACTCCAGGGATTTATTATTTAGAAGATTAGATGATCAAACAACTTCAGATGACCAACACTTCAGAATATCATAGTTGAAGTTGCAGCTTGTCTGAATGGACTTTTGGATTGGGTTCAAGTATCCAAGAAAAAGAGGCGAACTAATCCAGTTTGACAACAGGCTTTGAATTTAACATTGGCTCTGGCCTTTAGGACTGTAGAAGGCAATCGACCCACTGAGCTTAAAGTTGTCATCATGCCTGTTTCTCAAAATATCATTAGTGGAAGCGCAGTGACAACAGTACTCAATTTTGTGGATGTTTTCAACTTCTATTGGATGCAATCAGGAGTTGATTATGTTTAAATTGATTTCAGTCCGATTTTATCCAAGACGTCGAAGGTAGTAGGCGGGAATCTTCCAGAATATTGCAACATAAGTTGCTTACAGGTCCTTTATTTTATAACAAAGGAACTTACGGAAAAACAGCGTTGCTTTTGTTCCTGGTTCTTCGGACATTTAACAAAAACCATTACGCTCAGGAGACCCTTGGTAGTTTTGGTGGTGGAAATTTCGACCTTGATTGCTAGATGGTGACACAATTGTCCCACTCTTGGCTCTTTTCAAACTTCCGAGGGATTGGCCAGGCTTCGATTCCAATCGTGCTTCTCTGTAGCACACAATCTGTCGGCCCTAATTCAAATTTGCAACTGTAGCTACTACTGTATGTGACGTATACAAAGGCAAACAGACGACACACATTCCGGAATCGCCTTTATTTAACAAACCAAAACAAGCCGGAGTTCCGAGATCCGCGACCGCGTCGGGATTGGGCTTTGTGCTAGATCCAGTATCCTTAAAAGGGCGCCATACGTAAGCTGATAACCAAAGCAGTCCCTCTGAGAACAGGGTTGTGATTTTGGAGTAGCGCAAGCCAAATTACACTAAGTGAAGCTTTAAGTCATAGTGGAATTGTTGTTTTATGGCCTTGAAAACCGGAGGTATTTGATTTTTTCCAAGCTGAATAGAAATATGACATTATGCCAGTCAAATTTAGAAAGTCTTCGTCCCAAAAACTGAACTGCCAAAAATTGCGTAATTGCTTCAGGACTTATATTTTTGTTAGTACAACAAAGAAGTCCACAAATGTTGCTTAATCAGTGGCAGGTTAAGCCACAATTTGTGAAAATTCTGTGGCCACCATGTTGAAAGTTGATATAATGAACATAAAGCAACGCTGAAGCCACTCTTTTAGCATTTATGTATTTCTGGGCGTTTATATTGCTTGGGATTCCATGTATAACTCTATAAATATTCTCTTGTTCTGCACGAAAAATGCATCAAGGCTGTTCCTTAAATGTGGTGTAGTAGTTGCAGTCAGACATCACGTTTTGGTTGTTTTAACATATTGGTTTGATTCAGGCACTTTCTGCTGAAAGTTGATGTCTCATCTTGAATGATGTTCAACGGCCATTCACATGCCAACATTGTCAAAAACCACAACACATTTCTCTGAATGTGGCTTCTGTAATCGTTAACTTGAAGCTCGGAGAGTAGTAAAGGAGGCAAATGCCACTGAAATTTTCATGGGTAGCTTTGGTTTCTGATGTTAGTTTGTGACCAACAGTTTGATAGTTCAACAGTGTTTACAAAAAATTACAAGAATCAAATAATGTAATTGTACAAACAATTCTGGTGTACAGGTGCAGGTGACATTGCTTATTTTATTTAACAAGTACATCTGAAAACGTTCAGCGCCAACTTTAGCCCATCAGGGCGTAATAGATGGTGGGCTTTTGTAAAGCGTGGGTGTCTAGTCTACTCGTTGTTTTTGCTGGATTACCGAAAGAAAGAAAGAAAATAAAGCACAAAATTCATGCTACTCTAAAAGTATAAGTGACATATATCCACCTTTGGCGATATTCTTAGATGGAGCTTCGTGTTTCTGAGCAGGGAAAAAGAGCATATGTAGCTCCGTACCTCTTTAAAATTGTATGGGCACTTAGAACTCTGTAATATACAGATTTAAGTTCAATTTAAAACAACTGTGACGACAAACAGAACTTCTGTAAACGAATTTGATTATTGTTTTGAAATTTTTACTTTTATTTGACGAAAAAGTGGTCCGTCGCCATTTGCCTGAATAAACACTGTCAATAAAAACGAGGGACGTTTAAGATAGTCTCCTGGTTCACAGTATTATCCAACCTGGAACGATATGCATCAGCTAAGTTTCTCGAGGCAAAAGCAAGATAAACTTTATAAGTGGATGAACACAAACCAATGTGTTTCGAGTCAGATGGAGCATTAATCAGGCAAGTGAAACAGGGAAAGTAGGTACTATACACTACCTCATGAAATTTTTTATTTACGAATCAATTGACTTATGCTTAATTTTTTAAGCATTCTTACGGCTATCTAATATGTGACTATGCTCCCCAAGAATGGTACTTTGTTTGACTAGTTACTTCAGTGTCTGATAATTTAACTCCAATTCGAAACCCATGCTAACACAGGCATTTGTAATCTCATCTGACATTTGCCTATCCTTTGAGCAATTTTATTACAACCTACATAACACTTACAATATGCACAATTTTCACACAAAACTTGGAGGCAAATTGGTTTAAAAAATAAGCTTTTAGCAGAAATGCTTGGATGCTGATTACTAGGGTGCAAAAGTTTCACTTTTTGTTAAAATGCATTGATAGACAAAAGCGGAGGTCCTTTTATGTAACTTCCTCATATGGATAAAGCTAAAGATTACAGAACGGTGTGATTTTCAATTAGATAAAGGGAAGTTGCAACAGACATTATCTATCATTATGGTGTAGCCCGACAGCAAAACTGATATCCAATGCGTTTTTGTAGCAAATAATTAATCTAGTGCCATGTAAGAAGGCAATGAAAAGCTGTGTTTATTACGAGTTGCAAGTTGATTGTTTAATAAAGTGCAAACTGCCATCAGTTCGGTGAGTTTCGGATTTTCTTGGATAGTCATTAGAACGAGACTTTTCAAAAATCATCAACCATAAGATTTATTAAATTAGTCGACAACCGTCTAAAACTACAATTTCATCTAACTCACTGCAATTTCATGTTGGTTGGATGTCCGACGATCAGTAGCTTGCTTTGATCGAATAAAACTTTTACAAGGAATGTTTTTTGTGTTTGCATGGTGGAGTTTTTCCACTTGCGGTGAACAAAATAAAAGTAGATTTTTTTCTACAAAGACGTTTGATGCCTTGTAATAATAATTACCATTCATTTTGCTTATCAATGTGAAAATATAAATGAGGCTACCGGTCCGCTATAAGGGGCCAATAAGTAACTGCGTTTGTCCAAACAGGAGCCAAGTAAATGGCACTTGCTAGATCTTTTGTTATTGTCAGGTAACTTTTAAGATTTAGTCATGTCCAGGTTTTCAAGTACTGTCCTGACAGTTTTCTTTAACAAACGTTTTCATGTTTGTCGCACAGCAGGCATTGTGAGTACCTAACTTCTGTAAACAAAGTTGACCGTCTTATCAGAAGGCCATAATTCCAGGTCATTAATTAAATTTCTTCTGGTTATAAATTATGCTGTTTGTGACGCCAGCAATGCTTTACTCTTACTATGAATTGGTAGAATTGAACAACCATCCTGTTGTACAAAAGAAGTCATTTTCCAACGCATTAAATAAGTGTTTGGTTATTTTTATGGCTACATTACCCTTTATATGTTACTACTGTCAGAATCGATATATATTTGTTCTTATTGTAGGAGCTAACAAAGGCCGAGAAGAATCTGCTCCGCTCTGATGCCACAACAACGAACATTGTCCGGAACAAAAAGCAGCAGCAGAGCCACATTGCTGGTCCTGGATGTGTTAATCACGCTATGACTGACGATCAGGGACGGATTTTGAGTTGAAAGCTCTTTGCTTCTGTAGGTAAGCTACCCCAATCCATGCAGAAACGCAAAATATTTATAAGAATCAGGTTTTCTGACTTCCGTAACTAGGTTATGAACATTTGAGTTCGTCTTATGGAAGTTAATTTTTTGGCAAATTTCCGGCCCCACTTTCTAACGCCACTATCTCGTCTAACTGTCTTTTTAGTTACGCCAGCTGAATCTTCGTTAACTTTTTCGCAGTCAGGGAGAAAGTTCAAACGACGCAACAAATGTATTTGAAAATTAATCAGCCAATTAATACGCTAATGAGATCGCCTGCCGTTAATGTGACTGAAATTCTCATTCAGTATAAAAATAATCCCTCTAACCAATGGCTGTACCTATCTCTATCGAGACTCAACCTCATTTGCACTCTAGTTGTCAGTACCTTAAATTTCAACCTTAGGTTTCCGATAAATTTTATATGCTGAGACATATTTAAATGACAAAGTATAAAAACACCATTTTAATGCTATTCTTTCAATGTTTCAAACGCTTGTGCACTTCAACAGGTGCCCCCCTTAAACAGGGTTCTTATGATAACAGTCCAGCAGTTGTTTTCAGAATAAGAGATATTGGCCTGATACAGCTGATATTTAAACTTAATAAAACTTGTTTTTGGATTATTTCCGATTTTGTATTAAGTGCTTTCTACCTTAACTTTTGGGTAACTACTTGATCACGTCTGCTCACGTATGCGTTTTCCTACAGAATGCGGTGACACAAGTTTTTTCTTGAAATAAAAAACAGACGTTTTTCCACGTCAGGAATTGTTGTTGCTTTTGTTAGTGCAATAAATTGCCACTTTCAGTTGTCTTTTATCTACAATAAGAAAACAATTAGTGGTTATTGTGTCAAAGTAGGGCATAATATGTTGCAAATTTCTACGTTTTTTTAAAGCACACTTTAGGAAACCGTAGCCTTTCGGTCCATTTTTCCAAGCTCGATTCATCGGATCACAAAAGACCAATCATTACTATCCGTAACTTTTAAACTGGCATATCTACGGTGTTTCTCCAGCAGTTTGCCGCTATGACGGTGGAGCTAAAGGATTTTCTGCTTACCACCATATTTAAAAACGCTCAAGCCTGACGGCCACTACTTACTACTACCATCTATGCGTTTAAATTTACTTTTATACTACTCAAGACTGAAGCGCTACATATGAAATTGTTTGATACCCCCGTCTCGATTTGTAAAACACACAACCTCTCACATCACCGACTGTGAGGGATTCCATGGAGTCGCAGAAACATCCCGATTTTGCAAAACCAGCTGAGAAATGAAGGCAAAAATTTTCAACCAAAAGCTGAAAATTGCTCGAGCTGCTTGGGAAAAACGGAGTTACTTTGACGGATGACAGTTTAGTGTAGTTTTGGTTTTCAATGGTGATGTCGCTTTATTTGCTTCATTCTAGGCAGCAAAAATGTTTCCCTTACAACTCTTATTACCAAACACTCCATGTGTTTTGCAGCTGTTATCCAATTAGTGAAGCGACATGTCAAATATTGAGTATTTCATTGTAAAAAGGCAATATGGAGACATGCATTGAATGGTGTTTCTCTCTGAAACCCTATAAAGTGAAAGCACCTGAGAATCACCAGACCGGATCCCCTCATTATAAAGGCTTTTGAATGAAGACACTTACCAAATTACAAGATAAGCTCCAAATTTTTCCTTCCAATATTGTTGTACCGATCATCACCCTTGACAAATTTTACGTGAAGCTATTGACCTGAAAAAAATCCTTCAACTTTAACACCCGGTGCTTAGCTGCCATACCACCTGAAGGAAGCACGAGGGCTGGGATACTGCCAGGTTGTCCAAGCCCAGACTTGGGAAGTCGAGGGGCAGAGGTCGGGCTTTAACCATGGACCTTCCGGTTAGTAAATTCACGCCCTAACCGCTTGATCCATCTCGCCCACATATTAACCTCTGTGTGAGTTTGTTTATTTGCCAAGATCGTATTTTTGTTCATTGAATGCGTACGTACAAAGGTCTTGCGTCCGTTGTGTAACGATTTGGACTGAGGGAATGTCGGTCAGTTAAACTTGTCTATCCAAGATAAGTATCGTCACTTCCTGTCTTAAAACTGGAAAGTACCCCGCAACCTGTTATCGGCCTGTTTTTATCTATTGTGCATACTCTATACTTCCTTTATATTCAGTGAAACTGCTAAAAAGTGTTCAGAACTACTTTTGACTGCGTTACCTATCCGCTTACGTGCAAACCATGTAATATTGTTATATTTTGTAGGTATCAAATCACAGACAGAACTTGCAACTACGACAAGTGTTTCGAAGTCAATCGGTGTTTTCAATTTGCTTTGCATCAGAGACCCAGATTTGTAACAAGTAATAATTTTAGATGCACATTTTTCAACAGCACCTGATAATGTCATCCTTGCTTTCCACTTTTGATCTTCATGTGCTTTGAAAACTTCCACACTATTTCGCCTTTTTAAAAGCTATCATAAACCTTGATTACATGAGCATTAGTTCTCTTTGCCTTCTGCCAAGCTTAGAAACGTTTGAATTTGGTCATTCGTACAGGCTTCAACAACCTGAGCGTGATAAATAACGCATGTCGTGTAGAGTTGAAAGAATCTAGGTTGAAAATCCTAGATTTCGGCTTGTTACAATGTGAACTACCCACCCTCACGTGTTCAACCAGGAATTCCGCCTGCTGGACCCTACACCAAAGTCAGTTAATTCAACAAATCTGCCGTCCTGATTTACCTATTTCGGTCAGTTTACAACAGAGGGTATATGGTAGATACTAAAATTCATTCTGTGTACCTGAGCTGTGATGCACTTAGACAGTTGTAGCCTAAATAGAAGATTCACTTGCACGTTAATGAAATGCGCATGACTGTGAAGCGCTTCGTGTCGCATGTGTCTAAATTCTGGCATCCGAATGGGAAGAATATATTTACTCATGCAGAATTTCCATGGCCCCTGGTTATGTTGGGGTGTTTTCAGTACACCATAACTCTTTAGCTAAACAGGGTTTGAGATATTTCAAGTCGGTTAAGTGATGTTCGATTAGGCAGCAGTCTTCAAAATAAAATTTAGGACTAAAACACATTTGCTTCAAACAGTAAACTTTTATTTCTCTATGAATTTTCGCTGTTCTTTTAACACATGACCGTTTGGTTTAAATCGTGGTGCGTCAGTAAAAGTTTTTGGCCTGGTTGGTACATGCCAGAAGATCAAAATATAGGTCCAAGTAATCGAAAAACATTGCAATACTTAGTAGTTCCAAATCCCATAATACAATGAAAACGCAGTGAGGCGGAAGTTAACATTCGCATTTGAAATTAATCGATTGTATCTTTACTCGTTAATGCCGACAAATAGCTGGACAGGCGACCACGAAAGTTCTGTGTATACAAAAGTGATGTGCTTTACATTATGACAAAAGATGATTTCATAAAACGGTAGTGCATAAATCAATTTTTCCTGGTAATCTTTTAGAGTCTAGTGGTCTTTTCCCAAAATCTTCCCCAGCAGTTTTCTGTGTTTGTGTTTTCGGGTACAAAGATCTTAAACATTAGTGTGATCTCTTTTAGAGCATAGAACCGTACTTGATGCTGAGCATCACAAAAAGTTGCCACTATACACTGATTAAGTGAACGGAGGAAGCTAAACCCTCAAACCTCAATTTGTGTAGAAGCTTTGCTGTACGGCACTTGTCCCTTTAGATAAAAATACTCGGCAGTAAAATAACTATCCGCGAGAAACGATCTTAAAAAATGTCAGCGGTTGACTTATTTTAGTCTTCCTGGAAGGGCTGATAACTCCCATCTATTGACCAGACAAACAAGAAACCCTCGTTCAATCCGTTACAGAACCTAGCTACCTCTTATCCGTGGTACTCTAAGGAATCGCTCTAAAAATCTACCGGAAAATTCGCTCTCTTCGTGTTAAACGGCAACAAGAAAGTGGGAGACAAAATATGGAAATGCTACACTTTATTTTCCAAAAAGCGGTCACATTAAAAGATATATTCCAGCGGTTTGTAACGAATTATGGCAACTGACGATGTCTAAGCAGCGCAAATCTTTGTGAATTTCTTATAAGTACCAGAGTTTACACTCAGTGACTGGTGGAGGCATATGGTTTAGCGTGCAAAAATCCACTTACTGTTTGTTCTTGTTACAACATACTGCTTTATTAAAAACATCAAGAATTCTGTCCACCATAAGTTAAATTTTACCTCCGACTGGTAGAACCAGTGGTTTCATCCAGTGGTGCTGCTGCAACTGCAGCTGATGTTAATGCTGGGCCAATTGAACAAGAACTAAGTTCAAGTGAGCCACTTTTACTTTCAAATATATCGTCAGAGAGATCTATCTGTTCACGTATGAAGAAGTGTTCTGGGCTAGTGTACGGAAAAACAGCCTTACCGAGAAACAGCTGGCGGCATTTATAAAACAGCTTTAGTATGAAGTGCTATCCAACGTCCTAGTGTTTTACGGGAATAGAAATATGTTCTTAGGCAACTCGTTGCCGTTGGAAACAGAAGTTAGTAAACGCAAGTGAAGAACGTTGATGTGATCATCATTCACTGAAACACCAACGGCCATTTGTGTCTAGAAGTACCAACGCAAGAAATACAACTGATGCCAAGTGTGGGACAAAGAGGGAAAATGCGAAAACAGATGCAAATGGTGGAGAACGTTTGTACAATTACTTTCAGAAACAATGTGTACTGTTTCTTTAAGAAATGACTTGATAAATTTCAATGAACCAGTGAAAGATAACCATAAAGCTTGACTTCCAGAAAGTCCACAAACACCACCCTTCTAAGAATGACGGATCGCCATTGTCGGCTGTGCGGCGGTATCCGACGATTGATATCCAGAAAATAAAGAGTTGAGTAGTGTGGAAAATTATTCTGAAAACGACAAAAACATTGTCCAGTACATTAATTTTGGTCAAAGTTTTCCCAGCTATTCTCTGGTTACGCATTATTGATGATTCCTTAATAGAATGATTTAGCTGTACATCGCTCCTCGGTTTTCCAAACATTGGAGGCGTTAGCTGTTATAATTGATGTCGAGGATATCAAAGGAATATTCATTTAAAGGATCAAGAAGAGAGCTATGCGTTGAGAGAAACAGCTTGAATGACTGAGCACCATAAAGGGCGCTACCACACCATGTCTAACAATCTTTCTTATCGTTGCTGTGTCCTGTCCCGGGGACCGCATCCATGGAGATGGCGCTGCTGGCATTGGCGTTCTTAATTCGCTGTCCGTCCAACAAAATTACTATCCGAATTGAGGAATCATACTTTACTTTTGATTGCAAGTCGGTTGCTAGTCTCCACCTAACCAGAGAAGCGATCTTCATCATGAGTACTTTTTTCATGATTTTTGCGCGAGAAATGTGTGAGGCATTGGAAAAAAGTGCGTAGACAGTAATGGATTTCATTTTTAATTTTATTATCAATGGGAAGCCGAAATTGCTAATGGTTGTCCTTATGTGATACTATGCGGCACCAGATGCGTTAGCGGTAATCAGATAAGAGATGCTTAAGTTTGATGTATGAAAAGGGTTTTTAAAAACCCCACAGCGCGGCTGTCCAAGGATTTGTCCCAATTATGGCCTTCAGCTAAATTAAGCGAAATCTCTTTGGTCATTTGTGTGGTGATCGGCAAATGAAACTCAAAATTTAACACAGATCTAAGAAAATAATTATTCTTATTCTTAGCGTTCCGTAAAGATTTATTGTGTCACTCTGCAGTGCATACGTAATCTGGAATCAACTTCAAAACTATCGTTTTTTTCGGGTAAAATGAAGTCGAATTTTGCTTTTGGCCGGCTTAAAAAGCCTAGTGGTCAGCATCGTTTACTGGTACCTGATCAATCCTGATCTTCAAAATGGCGGTTTATCTTTCTGGAAGACAAATCATTCGATGCGTTGTTTTTAGTGTGTTCTAGAGTAATATGACTTGCTGAAAAATTTCCTACTCATTCATATGGCTTGTAAGATGCGTACTGAAATATGGTAGTTCGGAACTAGATCAATCGACCCTCAGAAGCGCTAGTGGTATTGAAAACGACTGCTGATCTCAAGCGTAATTTAACTACTCACTAGCATTTCTAGCCTCACACAGCTCACAGGGTACTTTATTGCACTTCAATTTATTGACGCTGGGCATAGTTCCAGTAATAGGTATCATATAATTTTTTCTAAATCGTAAACAGCCTTATGGAGATTGAAAAATGTTAGCAAGTGATGGCAGTTGGGTGTCCTAGAGGAAGAGAGTTTGTGCTCTGAGTTTGTGTCAAAAAGAAGCATGATGTAACCTTTCGGTCACATTGGACCTGAAATACATCCCGCTATTCCCTACCGAGTGATCAGATTGCTAACCAAGTGACGGGGCACACTTCTGTGGGCAATTAATGCGGAGTACATGCGGGTATTAGATTTTGTTATCCAACTTTTTTGGTCAGTTCAGTAAATAGTCCAATCTCCTCGTTCTGAATCAACGGCCCGCAGTTACATGAGCAGCCTGCTTTGTGTCCGTTTGAAACCTCAGAAACTTTCACTCTTCAACTATGGTTCATTAAGAACCATTATTGGAAAAAATCCTATGGCCCTGAAGCGATCATGTTCAAGGTTGACAGTTGTTATTGTTTATTCACTCTTGAATGTCATTTTGGCCTGATTAATATCAGATTAGTTGTTGATGGCTACAGAGTTTGCGGAATTCAAGTTCACATCATTCTTGTTTGAATTGTGGCCCTGGTGTCCTGGAGCAACAACTCTGAGTTCAAACCAAAAGTGGAATGCACTGGACTCTGCTCTTATTAGAGCTGTTCAGCAGTGTGTATCATTTTCTGCAACACGGTTACAACTGTGGACGTCTCACATGCGAGGCGAGCGTCATATCCCTTTTCCCCCATGCTGGAATTGCGACGTCTGAGCAGGTAAATGTATTCATGCTTGGACGATGAGATTAGTTTGCCCGAGATTAAACAAGAATTAACGCAAAAAGCACGTTTTTGAGTTTTTAGTGGTACCGCGGACCAGAATGGCGTATGCCACAAATCAGGAAACTTGCAACCGAAGTAACCCAGTGGAAGAGAATTGTTGTTCTCTAGAAAGTTTCGCGCTGTTTACCGCAAATTCTGGAGATGCTGTTGACCCATGTCTATGTTTAACAGCTGCCTGTGAAAACAACGCATTACGGCTCAAGTTGAAAAGTGTATGCACAATTTTACCGTATAACCAAGAGCGGTGTTCAAAGAACGACCGTTTCGTTCAAACCATACAGTTGACAAATGCTTGTCCAATTTCCAAGTGTTTTCGCTTGATTAAGCACGTCCATCGAAATTTACCAAGAATCTGATCACTAGCGAATAGTCGGAGTTGTTTCAAACTTCTTCACCATTCTCAATGAGGTACTGCCAGGTACCAAGGCGTCCGGTTGGATTCTTACGCACCACGTTCGTAATTCATGTTGGCTACTGCTTTCTGTTAGG